CCTCCTTCCCTTGGTGCTCCATCTCCCCTGTTCTCTTTTCCCCTGATACTACTCATCCTCCCCTGTCCTCCTTCCCTTGGTGCTCTATCCTCCCCTGTCCTCCTTCCCCTGATACTACTCATCCTCCTCAGTCCTCCTTCCCCCTGGTGCTCCATCCTCCCCTGCCCTCCTTCCCTTGGTGCTCCATCTCCCCTGTTCTCTTTTCCCCTGATACTACTCATCCTCCCCTGTCCTCCTTCCCCCGGCACTCCTTCTGGTGGCGCTCTCGGCTGTCCATGGGCTCCCTTGCAGTGTCTGGCCAGCAGTTGGGATAGCGTGCTTTGCCGTCCTCGTTCCAGCGTGTCTGCCATTCTGAGTGTACTCTCTGTTAGCCTGTGGGGACAGCCCAGCTGGAAGTGGCTGGTGTGCCACAGTCACTGAGCTCCGTCCACTCTCTTCTAGGAGAATGACATCTTCCTGGGCTGGGAGAAAGGAGCCTACAGGAAGTGGGGCAAGAGTAAGAAGTGTTCAGACCTCACTCTGGAGGAAATGAAGAAGCAGGCTGCTGTCCGGTGTCTGCGATCGGCCTCAGATGAGGTGAGTGCACTGCTCACTGCTGGTCCCGTGGACAGAGGGCAGGGCTGTCCCCCACAGGTGTGCCTGCGTGGCCTGAGCACCTAGGGTGTGGTTGCCTTTTGTCTCTCACCCAGAGCGGCACTCAGACCGCTGCTGCGGTCCTGGCTGTCAGGTGTCCTGGGGTCTCCTGAGTCACAGCCACCCCCACGCACAGCAGCACGAGACACTGCGGGCTCCTGCGCCCTCCTCACAGGCAGCCTAGTTTCTGGGTCCCACCTTTTATAGAGCAGGTGTCTGTGTCCTGCTGCCACTACCAGAGTACACGGTTTTTATATAGACGGAGGGAGGGCGTGTGCTTCTGTGTACACCCTTGTAATAAGAGGACACACGGCTCATATGCATTTATATCATACAGAGCACGTGGGAGTGCTATGTACACTCATAGTCAGAGGACACATGGTTCATATGCATGTATATACATGTGCACAGAACACATTAGAGTGCTGTGTACCACCCTCGTAATCAGAGGACACACAGTTTTGTACACACACACACAAATCTCTTATTTAACATCACAAGAACCTCTTCTTGCAATTACCTGGTCCAGGTTGCATTTTTTCAAGCCACAGCCCTGCAGCTGGCACTGGGCTCTGTAGGATGCACGATGCCACTTGGGGCCTCACCTTTGGGGACGTGTGTGTGTGTGTGTGTGTGTGTGTGTGTGTGTGTGTGTTCGTTCATTCTCTGGTGCTGTTAATGCAGGGCTGCTGAGGGTAGAGACCTGGGCCCCTGTGTTCTGTGTTAGTGGGGAGCCTGGGCTCAGATCCCCCGAGACACCTCCTCCTCTATCCTGTCTTCCAGTCCTGCTTGTCAGTAAGTGACCGGGTCTTGAGCTATGGTGGAAACAGCCCACTGACACACTCAGTGCCGCAGGCCTGCTTCCCGCTCCTAACACAGGAGAAGCAGAGTTTGGATCGGCTCCGACCCTTGTCACTTTGGATCATGAAGTTTCCCTGTCCTCGAAGATGGTGCAGTGTTGGTAATGGACCTGTTGTCGAGCCTGTTAGCAGGGGAGCAAAGCTCTGTCTGTGTGTATATGAAGCAGTCTGCCATGCGTCCACTCATTTTGAAAGGAAGGGGACCTGCCCTGGGCCCTGTGACTCTGGGCCATTGAGAGAGTCTCGCATGGGCCTCAGGTCCGACTCATGGCCGGCTGGCAGACGTCTGCAGGGGCACAGCCTGCTGTCTGCGTGGCCGCGTGTACAGAACTGAGCACAGAAGTCTGGTGTTCCCTCAAGGTTCACAGTGGCCACGGGTGTCAGTTGTGTCTACACTGACTTGGGGGCTCCTCGTTCTCAGTGGTGGTGGCCACGTCATCATCCAGGTTTCCATTCGCAGGTGAGAGGTGGCGCTGCCCCTCCAGGCCAGGCTCTCTGAGACGCTGAGAAAAATGCATTCAGCTGAGAGCCAGGTCACGGTCACTTGGCCCCAGTGCCGGGCCTCTCCATGTGTGGGGCCGGGTGCTTGTGCAGGAAAGGCTGGGCGGGGATGGGCCTTGTCCTGCTTCTGTGGGGAGTCACAGGGACCACTCAAGCCCCCATAGCAGGGGAACCAGTGAGGCAGGTCCATTTCCTGAGGCCTCTCCCCTCAACTTCTCATCATCCTCTTCCCTCCCCACCGCAGGCTCCCATCATGCGGACACTCCTTTCCCTCGGATGACCATCTTTTACCCCGCCCCCTCGGACGGGACTGGGGCCATGCGAAGGCATGGAGGGGAGGCTGAGGCCACGGCTCAACACCGCCCCTCCTGGCCTCCCTCGCTCCCCCCGGCTGACCTCGTTCCCTTTGCTGCTCCTGGGCAGGGGTCCAGGCCTTCAGGACCCCAAGGCCAAAACGTTCCACTCTGCCCACCTCTGGGGAGGGCGGGGCTCGGAAACGGCAGCTCTGTGCAGGCACCTCCTCCCCCAGCGTCTTCGAGTGGGGGCCTGGGGGCCTGGAGTGGTTGTGTGTCTGTCCCCAGGGTTCCACATTCAGACCTGGGAGCATGCGCATGACACTGGGCCTCTCGCTGTGAGGGAGACGGTGTGGGCGTGAGCCCAGAATGGAGCCGAGCCACTGCCCTTTACTGCTCCGTCGGTTCAATGGTGGCTGCCCTCACTCATGGTCCGCACAGCCTGGCCAGATCCTCTCTTGGGGAGCCCAGCGGCATAGTGCTGCCCATTGCCCAGTGCTGGGGCACAGGGTTCAGGGAAAAGAACAGGTCTGAGCAGTTGGGAGAGGGCCCACCTGCATGTGCCAAGTTCTTACACAGACGCATATGTGTCTCCACACCTGCATGCACACCGGTACACACACGTGTACACTCTTCTAACTCCAGTCCTGACAGACTGCTGAATTCCAGCACTGTGTGAAGGTCATTTCCAAGGTGCCAGGTCAAGTGGTCATTTGAGTGGTGTGTTTTGTGGCAGCCGCTTACATCCGACAGGACACAAGGTCCCCAGAGGCGTGTGTCCTCTCCAAGACCAGCACTTGGTGTGCAGTCATGAGCAGGGAGGCTCGCTGCGCGCTGCGTGGTGTCAGCTGACCCTGTGTGGGTTTTCCTGGTCTGCCGACCAGAATGGCATGGAGCTGTGGCCCTGCTGGCCCGCTGCACGTCATGGTAAGCAGCTGCTTGCTTGCGCGGGACTGTAGTTAGAGTGCTGTTGGTGACCAGTTCTGTCTGTAGGTGTGTGTCTGCGGAGGGCCGCCTTGTCTGTCTGGGTCCCCCAAGAGTGCTGGGCTGGACGGGGCTCCTGGTGTGCACAGCTGACACCCCTGCACTTGTCCCCTGCTGCTGCTCACACAGTGGCCGAGAGCCTTTCTCGAAGCTCGACCGCTGTGTGCTGAGTCATTCCGGGGACTGAATGGCTGAGTTCTATTTTTAGCCTTGAGGCCAGCGGCATGACCGTGCCAACGGCTGCCCTGCCCTGTCAGGGCTGTATGCTCAGTGGCTGCTGGGAAGGCTGACTGCATGGTCCCAGGGCCGTGCGGTGAATGGCATGCTGAGCTAGCTGTGCCTGCATCCTCAGCTCACTCAAGCCTATGTCTTGTCGAGAGGGATGTGAAAGGAGACAATTTTGGAGGGACTGGTGGGCGTCTGTGTGCAGTATGGCTTTTCTTTAGAGGCTGCCTCCCATCTGGGACCAGGCCACCCTCTCTGCAACTGACAGCTGCTGGCCTGGGCTTCGTGCAAGCAAGCTGGGTCCCATCTCATTTCTTTACATGGGCCTCTGGGGTCTCCTGTGTTTTGACACTGGTTCCTGAGTTTGACACTGTGCTCTTAGGTTCCCTTGAACTTCTTTACATTGACCTCCTGAGACCCTGAGTTTCACAGTTTTTGAATGCCCCAGGCTTTGGCCTTGCCCACAGAGAAATTCAGGAGTGCTCTTGGCATGACTGATTTTTAAACTGGACACGCATAAGCAGTGGTCCAGTGCTTGCTTCTGTGGGGAGGGCAGTGAAGCTGTGTGTCCTGAGAGCCCTGGTCAGTGGCCGGTGGAGGTTGACGCAACTCTCCCCTCACAGAGCTCGGGCATCGAGACGCTGGTGGAGGAGCTGTGTTCCAGGCTGAAGGACCTGCAGAGCGAGCAAGGTGAGGCCAGCCGGGTCCCCAAGGTGACGCACGCACAAACTGGCCACGCTGCCAGCCCGTTCCAGCCGAGAAGAAGCTCCAGAGACTGTTGGAAATGGGCAGCACTTCGTCCACAGCCCTGAGGCCCCGTGGCTAGACAGCTCTTCTCTGAAACCTCTGGCCTCAGCCGAGGGGCCGCCGAGAGCACGTCCCCAGCCTGCACTGGGGCACTGTATCCGGAGGAAGCCTCCGAGTGGAACCGTCTGTCGGTAGATCCCTGGTGGTCTCTGCTGCCCAACATGCATCAGGGGCTTTGATCTCTGAACTGGGCACCTCCCTGGTTTAAGCACCCCTCTGGCCAGTGAGGATCCCGGAATGGCTCTCCTCCTGGCACTCCTGCACTTGGCACAGTGGGCGAAGATGGGTTTTCCTTCCAAAGACAAACGAGTAGAGCGAGTTCCCAGAAGTCTATCCAACTTCTGATTCTTGCAAACACTCGTTAATTAGATAGAAGACGTAGGTTTCTGACACCACCACCCCGCCCCTCCCCCACAGTTATGGGGGTTTATCAGGGAAGTGATCGGTCGCCCTAAGTCAGGGTCAGCAAACAGCAAGGACACGGTCAGTGGTTCAGAGCGACACTGCTCTCTC